AATGCTTACACCTCACTCTCATTGGAATTAGTTCAAAAGGGGAAGACTATAGCTATACACTCAGTTGGGTATAGAAATCTATCTTACCAAATAGGGAAATAGGAAGGGAAGGGGATAAGGGAGATGGGAGGGAGGTGAGGACTGATGAAAGGGAGGGCAGATTAAGGGAGACAGTGGTTAGAAATAAAATAAACATTTGAAGAGGAACAGGAGAATAAACAGAAGAAAATGGCAGGGGGAAATATACACTAACCCTAACTGTGAATGTGAATAGTATGAGTTCACCCATAAAATGGAAGTAAATAGCAGAACGGATTAGAAATTAGAATCCAACAATACGTCGTTTACAAGAGACACACTTGAAACAGAAAGGCAGTTAAAACAACTGGCTGGAGCAGAATCTAATATGCTTCATCTGAAGTAAAAAGGTCAGGAATAGCAATCATGACCTGAGACAAAGCGAAAGCAAAAAACAGACCTAATTAAAAGAGATAATCAGGGAAATTACATTTTGCTAAAAGGTATCATACAATGAAGTAATATCAAAAATGTTTACAGCAAGCTTTTCTGCTAATATATTCTCAAATACATAGGGAAATAAATCCAATTTATAAAAATAAGAACAATTCTCCAATTGATAACGGCCAAAGGATATGAATAGGCAGTTTTTACAAGAAATAATAGTATTCATAGTCATATGAAAAAATGCCCTACATCACTGTTGATTAGAGAGATATAAGTTTAAAAAAACTCTGAAGTACCACCTCCCACCTATCAGAAATGACAAATGCTGCAGGGGATGGGGGAAAACAGGCACACTAGTGTACTGTTGGTACAGTTGTGGACCGGTTCAACCATTCTAGAGAACAATTTGGAACTATGCCCAAAGGCCTATAAAACTGTGCATGATCTTTTGACTGAGAAACGCCACTACTACCCTCTGTACCACAAAGAGATCAAAGAGAAAGGAAAAGGACCTATACATACAAAAATATTCACAGCAGCTCATTTGGTGATGGCAAAGAACTGGAAATCAAGAAGATGCTCATGAGCTGGGGAATGGCTGAACAAATTGTGGCACACGATTGTGATGGAGTTCTGTTATGCTATAAGAAATGACCAGGGGGATGGTTTCAGAAAAAACAAAACATGAGAAGACCTATATTAACTGATGCAAAGTGGAATGTGAAGAACTGGGAGATGATCATGCACAGTAATATTGTTCGATGAGCAACTGTGAAAGACTTGGCTACTCTGATCAATACAATGATCCAAGACAATTCCAAAGAGAGAAATAATGAACTCTGAGCAAAAATTGAAATACAATTTTCTCACTTTATTATTGTTTATAATATAGCTCATCTTTTGCATGACTTCACATGTGTAATTGATATCATATTGCTTACCTTCTCATTGTGTGGGGGAGGGGTGGGAGGGAGGAAGAAAATTTGGAACTCAAAATTTAAAAAGAAAAGAATGCTAAAAATGATTTAAAAAAATTTTTTTAAAGTGTTTTCTTCCCCACTCTGAGATATGTAGTGCACTATGGCCATTGCTCTTTTCCAGATAAGATAAATTAGGAAAGAGTGATTTGTCCATAATCACAGTGTCAGAAATGTAATTTGAACCATGATTTTCCTGACTCCAACACTAACACCATCTACTATAACATGCTTTATTATAGGAGCTGAGTTCAACCATAGGGAGAATCCATCAATCACCAAGCATTTATTAAGAACCTACTATGTTCCAGGCACTGGGGATGTAAGTGCACTGGACATACATGTACAAAAATGAAACAATCCCTACTCTCAGGAAGCTTTCAATCATCTCATGGTGGGTGAAGGGAGAAGGGGAAGACAGGTGCATTTATAAATATATTAAGCATTAATATAAAGTAAATAAATTGTGTTTCTCCTTCGTATTTGAAGATCATGGCATCAGAATGGTGACATGACTTGAAATTGACTTTGTTTTGAGTGAGGGAGGGCTGTGCAAGATTACCAGCCTCACTTTCTCCTCCAGAGCCATCTGGATCCAGAGGCCAGATATTCATCAGGAGGACTGAAGAAGGCTCAGGATGCAAAGGGAGACCCTGGTCCTTTAAGCTAAGATCTTTTCAGGTTCTCACTTTGAGTGAGGTAATGCCCATTCAATGAATAGGCCTCTCTAAGAAGTGAGTTAAGGGGGGGGCAGCTAGGTGGTGCAGTGGATAGAGCTCTGGCCTTGGAGTCAGGGGGACCTGAGTTCAAATTCTGGCTCAGATACCCTAGGCAAGTCATTTAACCCTAACCTAAAAGCAAAACAAAAAAAAAAAAGGGAGTCAAAGGATGGCCCCTTTAATAAAAAAAAAACCAAACTGGAAGGGGAAGACCCTCAGGGTTGCCGGCCAAAAAAGAAACAGTTGCTGTTTACATTCACTTTGAGCCAGGAGGGCCCCAACACCAACCATTAAGTGGTACTTGGTCAGGGACCTATTGTTGTGCAATCTATGAGTTCTAGAGTGATTGGTCTTTGAGAGAGATATTGCCAGTAAACCCCAAGTGAACCAGGCTAGAAATATGTGCAAAGAAGTTAAATGCAAGGTGCAGCCAGGGTAAAAGCATGGAGACTAGAGATGGAGGGTCCTTTGTGAGGAACAGAACAAGGCAAATTCGGCTGTGTTGGAGTGTGAAAGGGGGAGCAATAGCTAATGAGACTAGAAAGATGGGTTGGGGCCAGATTGTGAAGGATGGAGTTTCTTGTTTATACTAAATGCGAAAGGAAGCCACTGGTGTTGACCACCAGTGGTCAGATGTTCGCTTAAGAAAAATTACTCAGGTAATGTGCTTTAGTGGTGAGGCAACAAAACCAATTAGGAAGCTATTAATAATAGCTGGCCGTTTATACAGTGTTTTAAGTTTGCAAAGTACTTTAGATACCATCTTATCTGATTCTCACAACCCCAGGTGGCAGGTGCTATTATTATCCTCATTTTACAGATGAGGAAACTGAGGCAAAAGGGTTGTGATTTCCCCCATGTTACAAAATTAGTAATCAGGCTGGATTTGAACTCACGCCTTCCTGCCTCCAAGTCTGATGATCTTCCCATCACACCATTTTGCCTCAAGAAAAGAGGTGAGATGTTTAAATAAAATTTTTAAAGCCCCTATATAAACTCTACATGACCTGACAAATATAACCAGAACAAACTGCACCCCAGGGCACCAAAAGCATCTATAAAATGTGGTTCTAACTGGATAGAGAACCGGCCATGGGATCAGGAGAACCTGAATTCAAATGTGACCTCAGACACTTGACGCTAGCTGTGTGACCCTGGGTGAGTCACTTAACTCCATTGCCTAGTCCTGTTCCCCCCACCCCCAAAATGTGGTTCTAGCTCCCTCTCTCCTTGCACTTTCTGCAATAGAGAGGTAATAGGATCAAAGAGTCCAAGCTGGAGGGGAACTCAGAGATTACTTAGTACAACTCCATTTTTTGGTTTGTTTTTGTTTTGGCTAGGCAATGGGGGTTAAGTGATTTGCCCAGAGCGCTAACAGCTACTAAGTGCCTGATACCTAATTTGAACTCAGGTTCTCCTGACTCCAGGGCTGGTGCTCTATCCACTGTGCCACCAAGCTGCCCTTCCACTTTCTTTCTTTTTAAAAAATTTCAGGTAGGATTGCAGAATGGATGACTAAATGATTTGTGAACCCTAAACATGAAGTAATGATCATTACAAGCATGTGTAATAAGAAAAAGTCATCCCAACTAACTTCATTTCCTTTTTTTTTGACAGGGGTACTAGACTGGTAGACCACGGGAATAATGCAGTACAATTTTTCACCAAGATATCTGACAGACTCTCAACTAAGTGTGCATTAAATGCCTACTCATTAGGCACTGTTATGACCCAGTTACAAAGAAAAAATGAGCCAGCCTGTGTCCTCAGGGAATTTACATCCTCCTGAAGGGAAACAACACGCAGACAGGTACAATGTAACTTCAGGCAGGACAGCTAGAATTCAGAAAGGCCTGCCGTTGGAGGCAGCTCTTGGGAGCCCTGGAGGGAGTCTAATACCTCGAGATGCAGAGCATTCCCCGAAACGGGAACAGTCTGTGCCAAGGGATGAGGGCAGGAGGTAGAATGCCTTCTACTGGGAAAAGTGATTAGGCCAGCCTGGCAGGAAGGTGGTCTGTGTGGGAGATGAATGAGAAATCAGCCTGGAAAGCTAAGTGGGAGTCAGCTTGTGAAAGGCTTTGAATACCAAAGAGGGAAATCTGCATCTAGTCCTTCAAGCAGCCTGGTGTGGTGGAAAGAAGGCTGGATTTAGTGTCAGAGGGAATGGGTTTACTTTCCTTTCTGCCATTCTATGACTCTAGGCAGATTATTTCACACCTCTGGGCCTATGTCTGTACAATGAGGGCCATGCATTCCATGCCTTTGAGGTTTGCTCCAGATTTATTTTCTCTTTCTTTTTTTTTGCTAGGCAATGGGTTTAACTGACTTCCCCAAGGTCACATAGCTAGTGTCAAGTGTCTGAGGCTGCATTTGAACTCGGGTCCTCCTGACTTCAGGGCTGGTGCTCTATCCACTGTGCCACCTAGCTGCCCCCAGATTTATTTTCTTAAAAGCCAGTGAGGAGGACAGATAAAGGTGGAAATGAAGTTCATTAGATGGGATAAATACCTGGAATAGCCTCAGAGAAGCCATCAGGCATTTAAACAAAATTCCTTAACTTGGGGAAGTTACAAACTTGGGCTCTTCTCCAATGGCTTCAATATTAGTTGAAGTAAAAGTTAAGACATCCCTCATGATTAAGCTATTTATCAGACAGGAGACTTTAGAAACTCCTATTACTATTAATTATTAGGGTCAACATTTGATAGCTTAGAGCTCAACTGAAGTGAAAATCAAGTCACGGTGGTCGCTGAAATATCAGTCCTATTGGGAATTAAATTACATGGCATATTTTACAATATCCTTTTAAGTGTGACCACAAAGTTCAATGACTCAATCATATAATTAATTACAGTACTTTAATACATGACCTCTGACATGGACTTATTGAGAATCTTAGTGTAACTTTTTTATACACTAAACTATGCTCTTTGAGGTGATTACAATGGAAGTCAATGGGAAAACATTTGACAAATTTCTTATGCATACTTTTCTGAAATAATTGTCAAAACAAACTTCTTTAGCACAACCCAATCATCAAATGGTAAGCTATGAGTTCTAAGAATTCCAGAGACTCTGATGCAAATTATATTTCTGTAATCACAAACTAAATTTTAATGAAATCTTTTAAGAAAAAATTTCATGAGGCCTCCATGCCTTAAGAGTATCAGTTATTTTATTTCAAGATGGTAGATTGATCCAAAATTAAAATTTAAGATATAATTTGGGAATTTTTGGTAGTGTTCTAAACTTCATTCAAGTTTTTCAATTACATCAAAACATACAGCAGTTGGGCTGAAAGGCGACCTTCCAATAAAATAACTGTCACGCTCCTCCTATTTCCAAACCTCATATCTCTAAGAAAGGTTTCGGCTCAGCTTTAGGAGGGATGGTATTACAATGTTCAGAGAAAGATTTTTATTGAGGGTCACAAAAATCCAGCTTCTACAACGCTAGTAAAAACTGCTCTTCACTGTCTTAATTATGATGAAATAGTTTTACAGAACCGACTGTGATTGTGCTTGGGCCTTCTTTGCTAGCAACTTTAGATCTGAGATGCACTTGGCAATTGTTTCCTTTTCCTGTGACAAAGAAAGAGAAAATGGGTTAGTTTTTCACAAAATATTCAAGGTCTACCACAGGCCTGCACAACCTGCAGCCTGCCTATAGATTTCCTCTACACACAAAGGACGTTTTCCTCTACATTTTTTTCAGGCTGCCTGAAATCCATCCTTTGGTGGCTGCAGGTTGTGCAGGCCTGTTCTACTCAGACCTTTAATTTATATAGTAAGGTATGTAGATAAGACAGCTCTAAGTTACCACCTAATTCTGAAATTCTTTGGCTCTCCGAGATCTACAAGGTCTAACACACACCCCAACACCTCAACAGAGTTTCTCCCATTACAGCGTCATAACTAACTAGGGTTTGAGATGACTAAGAGAAGCAGTTGGTTATCCAGGGAAGGGAACTGAAGATAAGGCTGGGAGCACGAGTAAACCTACCTAGCACATGGCCCACTACAAGTGCTGCTTGTGCGTATGTGTAAGTGATCGCTGGCTCCTGGAACCTTCAGTCATATCCCAACCATGTTCTTAAGTTTCTTAACCTCCTTGTATGTCTTATCCCTGTCAGATACCTAGTAAGCCCTGACCTTATCTTCCATATATCAAAGAAGTTATTATGCACATGGTATGCCCTTAAATACTTTCTTCTCTGCCCCTGCTCCCAAACCCCACAGATACAGATGCTTGCTACCTAGTCAACCCCTTCCACAGAAACAATCAGACCATATGCACCGAAGTCCTACTAGGAAAGTAATTATTGATTAGGAAGTGGCCAAACAGTGGCATATGAATTTATTGGAATATTGTGAAATGAACAAAAAGAATCCAAAGAAACAAGATTTGTATGAACTGATTCAGAATTAAGCAGATCAAGAAGCATTTCTATAACCACCATAATAATGGGAAGGAAAACAACAAACATGTAAAACGAATGAACAGATTGGCCACATCTGACCATCTCTGTGTATTCCACCTCCTCCCCAACTAAAACACGAGGTATGTTTCATGTGACTTTTATGAAGTTTTTGAATGTTGTTTTCCTTCCCATTATTATGGTCATATAAATGGTTCTCCTCATTCTGCTTAATTCTGAATCAGTTTATACAAATCTCTTAAAGTTTTATATGTTTGCTACAAAGGAGGGTCCCTTCTTGTGGGGAGAGAGAAGAGAAATCAACAGGAAGTGAGAGGAATGTAAAAAAGAGAATAAACTTTTTTTTTAAAGAAAAAGAAAGCATTCAATAGGCATAAATTGGTTGCTCAGTCATTTCTGAATAGAAACGAAGGTGACAGAACATGGCATAAACAACGACAGGAAATTATTCCCTTATAGTCCCAACAGCCAGGTAGGTGACTGTGGAGAACAACTGTACCTACAACTTAAGATAAAAGATCTCTTTTACAGATTAGATTTTGAGAAAGGAAGAATTTGACACCAGTTATGCACTAACTTCTTCTGAATATGCCCTTCTCCAGATTAAAAGGCCCACCAGGTGGGCTTCACTTTCTTCATCCTAAAGGCCACTGGCCAGCTCCAGGACCCACATTCACCAGACACAGCAACAATCTACTACCTGCTGAGCAGAGATGCTCTTCACCACGTGGTTCTCCACCCAAGCAATCATGTGTTCTTGCTCCTTGCGTCGCATCATGTTCTGCTTGGCGATCTGATAGTCCAGGCGATTCTTCACCTCCGTGTACGCTTTATGCAGCCTCTCACGGTAAAAGACTTCGAGTGTCATGGCAATGTTGTTCTAAAGAAGGGGAGAAAGCTTACTTTTGGAGTCAAAGAACCACATGGTGTTTTCAAGATTTGTGCCAGAGAACGTTATGGGCATCACTCTTCCCTATACTACATAAAAGATGAGAGGCTTTTTTTTTGGTAGGTTTGTTTTCCTTAAAATTTAATGATTTTGAAAATAAAAATCTTAGCCAGACTGGGTACGAAATTAACCACACATGAAGTGGCAGGTGGTCCCTGACTTGTATATGAGTGATAAATGCAACATTAACAAGCAAGGACCTGTGGTCTTGAAACACTAGATTAAAACTACCCAAATATTTAATTTCTGATTTGTCCATGTCCCAAGAACCTGCTTTTGTCATTCTGTAATCTGGATATAGGCATGCACTAGACACTTTCGTTCGCTAGTTATTAGCACATGGTAGAAGTGAATGGAATACTTAATAAATTGAATATAATCCTCCAAAAAAGAATTATCATATTTCTACATATCAGGCACATATACTGAAATTTTACCTAGTTGGCATTGTTTTCCTGAATCTGATGTACTGACTTCTCAGGAGGTGTGATTTTCTCATGTGGGAAAAGTGCTTTTTAAATCCTAAAAAAACCTACCCTCTGGACATCAAAAAGGTAGTGACGCTGGGCAACCAGGGCTTGCTGTTTCTTTTCCAAGTCAATTGCATCTTGGATATTTTTTATGGAAGTCTGTTTCAATGCTTCTGCCGCAGCCAACTGGTCCTGCAATTAAGATATTTATGAAAAGATTAGTGAAAAAGCTAATGATAATAAGTACTGATCTATTTTCCCCTTTCAAAGTTAAGGCACGTGTGCAAAGAAAAAATGAACACAACTTTCACGGAAACCAAAGAGATGAAGAGACAACAGCCCAACATCTGAAAGAAACCAATCTAAAACTAAAAAGTAATCAAGAATTTTAGTAAACATGGAAAATATGACTCCACAGGACTTGATCAGGTTATAGCTGCTTATTATCACTGCTATAAAACAGGTTATTACATATGGGAATATCTGGAGAGTGTTGATAGTTTAAGTCATTTTAGGCTAAGTAACATTGGTAGAAAAGTCTGCAATAATTACTTAATTTTCTCCCCCAAAATAGCTCCTCTTAGAATACATTTTATATCCAAATAGATCAATTGAAGGCCCTACTGATAATTTCTAAACTTCTGTCCAAAACTAAAATGGGAAAAATCAAATTTCCATCCATACCTCTCTGAGTTTATCAGCAAAAGCTGCTACAGAGGCACCATATTTTTTAACTGCATAAATGTAGATCCCCAATGTTCCTATAGCAGCAACTGTCTCACCAGTAATAACATAGATTTCTTTAGAGAGAAGATACAGCATAAGTCCAGTGGCCAATACGTAAGGACCTGAAAGAAAAAGAATTATTTATGAGAACTTCTGTATAGTATTAGAAATAAGGACTAAATGAAGTTTCAGAATGACTGAAGACTAGGCTAAGTAAAAATTCTTTTAAAAATCAGTTCACTTTACTGCATGAAAAACCCTATCATTTAGAAAAACTACACATCAAAGATATTCAATAATCACTGTTGTCAAAGTGATTTCTTAACAGCCCCCAAACAAAAACAGTATTGGGTAAGTGTGAAATCTATCCACTCCTACCCATATTTAGTACCTTATTTTCATAGTACCTTTGCACTAAAAATATTTGGAAAAAGTCCATGATCCTGTCAGAGGGGGTACTTTTTGCTACAATGCAAGTCACAACCCTAAAGCACCTTAGTTGCTGTGGTTAAAAAATAATCACCGGTACGGTAACTCATCTCCTACACTCAGGTTGGCTGGTGCTTAGACAACAGTTAGAAACTTAGACTTAAGTTTCTCCAACTTGGTAGGACCTGCCAGAGATAATGCTGTCTGATTTGTTTTTAGCCACTCATTTTGGCAAATATACACTTTATAGCTTCTTAACTTCCTTGTATGTCTTATCTCTGTCAGATACCTAGTAAGCCCTGACTTTATCTTCTCTACATCAAAGAAGTTATTATGCACATGGTATGCCCTTGAATATTTTAATGGATGAAGAAACAATGTCAGGCTTTATGAAGTGCAGAAATAGTTTCTCAGTAGTCATAGCAACCACTTTTAGTTAGAATAAGTCAAGAAGAAACAGGTTACAACCTTTAAAGAGTATAAAATAGAAAGGGACCAATTTTTGTTTTTGGTTATCCAAACAAATTGACAAGGCACGATGAAAAGGCAGAAATGACACCAAAGCCATGCACCAAAAACTATTGCTATTGCAAACATCAGACTGAATCATCTCTGCAGGAAAGTTTGCTTACCTGTAACTCCAGTTTTAGGATACATAAACTCAAAGAATTCCTCAGGAATCAACCCATGACGAACTTTCCCTCCGTACTCAGGAAGAGGAGGCAAAGGAGCCAGACGGGGAGAAGCTGTGTGAAAAATTCTGGTTGCCTGAAGCACCCTGTGTAGAGCAAAAGAGGCACACAGACAGTTCTTACTTTACATAAATCAAATGTTCCCTAGATCTTATTTGTCTGAACACATAGGGAAGGTGGAAAGGGGGCTACTACCAGGCACTGAGAAATACATGCCAAGTTTACATAAAACAGTATCCTGATGGACATGGGAGCTAGGGACAAAGAAATGAGAGCAGAAAGAACACTTAGGGATTGGGGCCAGTCACCTGGGGGCCTGGCCAGAACTGAGAGAAACAACACGTGGGGGGGGTAGACACATGGGAGCTGAACATGGACACACACTGGGGCCAGGACCAGACATATGGTACCCAAGCACAGAATGATAGATACATGGGTGCTGAATGGAGTGGGGCAAAGATCTCCTCTCTCCATGTTATATGTCTTAAGCCAAGTCCCTGATCCACTGGTGGCAGAGATATCCATATGTCTGTTTCTCTGCTTTCACTTGGAGGATTTATTTTTGGTGGTGGGGAAGATGGAAGGCCACAGAATGCAGAGTTCAGGGGCAGGAGCAGAGAGCACAGTAAACTTAAAATAGGTTTTCTTTTCTTTTCTTTTTTTTAAAGAATGCTAATTTCTTTCAGAATTCTTTAAATTTGTATAATGTGATTTATATATAGCAAGAATTGCTTCTAATAGAGAAATAACATGGTACATGAAATTTCAGTAGAAATTCTTGCTATCAAAGAAGAGGTGCTGACTCAGTTTTCCCAACAGGTAGAATGGAGACAGTACTGAATGGAGCACTGATCTGCCTTCTAGTGCCACTCATTACCATTAACCAGCTATGTCTTCCTTACAGAGGTTAACTAAGCCAAACTGCTCACCAATATATGGTTCTTTTCTTCAACATCTCTTGATAACCTGCTTTGAACACATCCCACAACCGGAAGCCTGTTATCTTTCTAATCTGCAGCCTTGAGGCCACATGTAGTGTGGCCCTTTCATTGAATCCAAACTTCATGGAACAAATCCCCTTAATAAAAGGATTTATTCTGTAAAACTTGGACTCAGTCCAAAGGCCACACCCAAGGATCTAGAAGGCCACGATGTGGCCTGGAGGCTGCAGGTTCTCTACCCCTGTACAATCTAAATTCCATGTTGGACAGCTCGAATTCTTAAGAATTCCTTATACTGAGTGAATATCTGGCTTCTACTAACTGTTACCCATTGGTCCTAGTCCTCTCCTTTGAATTCAGGACCAAGAACACAATCATTTTTCCAGAAGGCTCTTAGAGATATTAGGAAGGAACTATCCTACTCTTTCTGTGCAAACTTCCCTTTTCCGGAGTAATACTCGTGATTTCTTCAACTGCTCTTTGTGTGTGTTGAGTTTTACTCTTTAGGTTAATATCTTCAAGAGGCAGGGGATGTGTGTGTGTGTACACTGATCAGTGCTGAATTACTTTTTAAGATCCACAACCTTATTTAGGTTTTTTTTCCCCCTCATGAATGATAACAAGCTATGTGTCTTCCATTCTAAGCTTGTGATAATCTTTTCAAGGTAAGTAGATAAGTGCAGGACTTCTTCACATTTAAATCAGTTAAATTTCATCTTGTGGGTTTTCAGACTATCTGGATCTGAACCCATATCCTGTCATCCTAAATGCTCTATTCATCTGAATGTGCTTTTTACTTTTCCTCCAAACCTAGCATGGACAAAATTCGAGCGCTCTTAAGCAAGTGCTGGTCAGCACAACATAAAGAATGCAGATTTCTCCTCATACTTTCACGTCAGAATCTACATACATTCTGTTCCTAATTCCCCCTCCTCTTCATATACACAAGGCTGGGGAAAAGCAAGAGGGGCAGGCAGGCAGAATGCCCCTCTTCCCAGTGTTCCTAGGTTGTTCTGCATAGCTCAGGCCATTTCCCTGTGACCTTGGGGTGGCTTCTTATGGAATGTTTTATCAGACCGGATAGGTACAGGAAGGAGGCACCTCTGCTGTGGATCCAAAGGAGCAGTAGTGTTTCTAAACTTTCAACTGAATGAAGGTTGTCCTAGAAATAAAATTAGTGAAGCGGGGAATTGAGAGCAAATGAGAGTCTGTCTGTGTTAGCCTCCTGCTTGGCTGTGAAAAGTCTACAGAAGATCTGGAATAAGAACTCTCTATCTTAAAATATGGAGGGCTAGGGTAGAATAATTGTTTTCTCAGTTTACACGTTTCTTTACTTTCAATAATTTCTCCTCTTACGAGAGTGAACTATATTTGGTCTAACATTAGCTATCTGCCAGCTGATTTAGTAAGCATTCCTTCCATGTCTTTCATTTATGGTACCGGAAAAAAAAAAATAAACAAAACCAAAAAACAACCTTAAATGATACCTGACGTTTGTCCAGTATTTTAAAGGTTGAGAAAATGTTGCATGTATTTGAACTTCACAACAAACATTCTTAAAGAGGTGCTGCAGAGCCAAAAAGAAAAAAAAAGGTGCTGCAGATATGCTCTGTAGGGAGATATGGCTAGTTAGTAGTGAGTGGGACTAGAAGGCATATGCTCACTGAGACTCGTTGAAGTTAAGAGGCTTGCCCAAATTCACAGAGCTTCCAAATGTCACAGACATGGGTCTCTCTGGACTCCAAATTGATGCTATACTAGGTCCAGCTTTGAATCCTACCTGTGGCAGCATGCAAAAATAATCAAATAAAAAACGGCAGGGAAAAGGCTAACAATCACATGCTATTTCTCCAAAAGTGGCTTTAAACAGCCTCAGGAAGAAAGAATTGGAAGTTATCAGGACATGACCAAGGGCAAAAGTCCTGCTGCACACCGCTAAGATCACCATCCAAATGGAGACATGTACATTTATCCATACTCTCTTGGTATAACAACTGTCCAAGGATCCACCTACCTATGATTATATGAGCCACATTCTTCGGTCTTTTTGGCCAATGCATCATGGCAAACCGTTATGATGCCTGACTAAAAACAAGATGTAAAATGCCTAGAATGCTCCTTTAATTCAATAGTTTAATATACCCCCTAAAAAACCCCAAGTATAAACTGCCTGATTTTAGGTTAAGATTTTGCTTATTTGATTGCTGTCAGTTAAAGTTATTAACAACAAAAAACAAAAACAAGGTCAGTCAACAAGCTTGGCAGTCTTAATGTAACCATCCTTGCTTTCTGCAAGCAATTCTTTTCTAATTACTATAGATTTGTTATCTATCATTAATGTCCTCTATGTGTCACTATGTGTCCTCTTTCACCTCTAAAACTATACCAACACTCACGTCAGCAAGAATATACCCTCCAGGTACATTAAAAAAAACCCAACCAAACCCCAAAATGGAAAAAGGATAAGGACCAAACTTGTGACTTGACTCAAAGTACCGTCTTGGAGAGATATCTAGAGCATAGAAAAACTGAGTGATTTTTCCCAAGTCAGGGAGCCAGTACTTGTCAAAGTGGGACCTGAACCCCAGTCTTCTTGTCTTCAAGAACAGCTCTAACCACTAGGCAATACTGCTTCTACTTTTCTTTTTTACAAGAAAACATATAAAAACTGACCTTCTCTTAAAACATGCAAATACAAGACTGCTAGATCAACTTTTCCCTTTAACAGTAACTGGACGCTCAGGATGCACCTGGGAGACCCAACCAGGCTCTGGGCTCTCCCCCTGCCCTGCCCTGCCCTCCCGGGCTATGCTGGGGACTAGTACCCGAAGGAGGGAGGGTCGGAGAAGCCTAGCAGTCCAAGGTCACGAGGGGAGAAGCCGACCTCGAGGACGCTAAGTCTCAAACACTGACCCCTTCCAACCTGGGGCTACAAAAGCGTGGCAGAGCATCAGCCAGAGGGCCTGCGTGGCAGCCCCCTCCTTGGAGGCTAGGCTCGGACGAGTTAAGCGTTTTGCTCGTGCGAGTGGGCTGGAAGCCCGGATCCGGCCCAGCGCTCCCGGGCTGCTAGGCAGGATCCCGGTCAAGGCCCGTTCGGGCCTGGCGCTGCCCAGCCCCCAACCAAGGGCGGCGGGCGGTACTTACCCCGGAGCCAGTGGGGCCGCGTTCTTGAGCGCCGGAGCTGCGAGGACACAGAGCTGGGGTCAGCGGGAGTCGCGGTCCCAGGCCTCCCCGCCCGCGCCCTTCCCGCGGCTCCCCGCGACCCTTCCAGGGTCCTCCCCCAACCCCTGCTGTGGCCGCCGCCCCAAGGACATTCTCCTCTCCAGCTCCGACCCCGTGACTCCCGGCCGGGCTCCTCACCCACGGCGCCGGCAGCGTGCAGCGCCAACCGGGACAGCATGTCCACCAAAAGTCCGTTCAGCAGCTTCTACGTCCCTGTGACCCCGGCGGGGAGACCTTGCCAGCCGCCGCACTAAGATGGCGGAGAGCAAACCTCGCGAGAGAAGGAGGAGGATTAAACGCTTTCTCGAATCGTCCAATCTCCGCTCCTCCCGTCTCCAGCACCAATTCTCGCGAGAGCAAAAGGGAACCCGGGGCGGAAGGGTGGGGGGAGGTGGGAGGATGGAGAACGAAGCCTAACCAGAACCCAGGGGCTAACGGAAAGCGAAGGGGGCGGGGCCGGGGAGGCGAGTCTCGCGAGAAGCAGGGGCTCCGGCCTCTCGGCCGGAGAGGGGCGGGGAGCCCGAGTGGACACCACGTGGGGAGTGGAGCCCGGGACCGAGAGAAGACGAGAGCCTGAGCCGTCTGGACATGCGGGAGGAGTCGCAGCCGCCGCCGGATCCGCAGGGGCAGCCGGAGCCGCCGGTGCCTCCGCCGATATACTTGCCTCCTGCCTCCCAGGAATGGAACCTACCTCCCAACGCGCCGGCCTGTATGGAGCGGCAGCTGGAGGCGGCGCGCTACCGGTCCGGTGAGCCCCGCCCGACCCCGGCCTGGCCTGTCCCCCGCCCCCCCCCCGCCTCCGGCCGCTCTGACCTGCGGCCCGGCCGCCTTCTCTCCCCGCAGATAGCTCCCTGCTTCTGGGCGCGTCCAGCCTCAGCGGCCGCAGCTGGGCCGGCTCCTTGTGGCTGTTCAAGGACCCCCTCTCGGCCCCCAACGAGGGCTTCTGTTCAGCGGGAGTCCAGACCGAAGCAGGGCTGTCCGACCTTGCCTGGGTCGGGGACCGTGGCATCTTCGTGGGCTCCGACTCCGGTGAGTATCCCCGAGGGGGCCATTTAGCGGGGGAGGAGGGGAGGCGGGGAGGCGCTGTAGTCACCCAGGGCCGGGGGTGCTAGCTTCGGATTTCGCCTCCACCTGCCCTCGGGAGGTGATGACGCCGAGAGCCCCTGACAGATGCTCGGGCTTTGTGGGCAAAGCCTCTTCCTTAGGTCGGAGCCCGACCCACCGTCTCGAGGTAGGTGCCTCCGGGCAGGCTGAAGCCCAGACCCGTGGAAGGGCTTGTCCACGAGGCCAGGAGGTGGAATACGAACCCCTCGGAGTCATCTCATCTTGGGGTCATGCACGGAAAGTTTGTTTAAATGAATTCCCCTTAGCTGGCTTGTGAAGATCTCAGCTCCCTGCTGCGGGTGAGCCGTATGCCAGGCTCTGGGCATAGAAAGGGAGGAAGCCAGGTTTGCCTGCCAGGAGCCCCCAGCCTGGCTGGGGTTGTTTCCTTCAGGGCCTCCTGCTCCTGGTTGTCATGGACCCCTCCAGCCTGCCCAGTCCGACTCTGTATGTCGATCTTTTCAGCACAGTTTTTGAACAAATGTTTTATTGATGCTTTTTTTGCTTTCTACACTACAGTTGTTTCCCAATGACCTCCCCTCCCCCCATAGAATTCTCCCTGGTAACAGAAAAACAGTTAAGTGAAGCCAACTGACCCGGCCCAAGAGCTCAGGAAACATTCCATAGGCCCAGTCCCCTGGCTCTCTAAAGAGAGGAGGGAAGGGGGCTACTTCCTCTGTCCTCTGGAGAGGTGGTCATTTTCAGTTGAGATTTTGGTATTGGGATAGATAGAAAAGGGATATCAAAGACTGAACTTTCCATAAGTGTTCTTGTTTTCCAGCCTCTGACTTGTCTCATATTCATGACTTATCTTCCCTAGTCCCCTAGACAAACGTTTTCAAGGTTTCAAGCTAGATTGATTAGTCACACTGGCCAGATATCTGCATGGAAGACCCCAGGGGAACAGATTCCTCTCCCTTTGGGAGCTGGTTCTTTAATTTTTTTTTTCCTACCAGAAGGCCAATAACTGTTTTCCCTTCTATCCTTTCCCTCTTTGGTCAGACCATTCTTCTAGGAAACAAGCACCAATATAAAATCATGTGGCATCATCCTGTAGTTGTTCTTACTGAAGATTAATTTGCTTTGTTGCTGTATAGAACAGGAGCCATAGGCGGGTCCACAGAGTCCTAGAAGTGAACTTTGCTGCCCTGTGAATCTGTAGACCTGCCTGGAATGATTCCAGCCCTCACATCTTCTAGGTGCTGTGGAACTTTGGGAACTGGATGAGGGCGAGACGCTCATTGTCAACAAGTTCTGCAAATATGAACATGATGACATAGTGACCAGTGTTAGCGTTCTGATAAATGGCACACAGGCTGTAAGTGGCAGCAAGGACTTCTGGTGAGTTCCTCCTCTTATCCTTGCTCGTGCCCCTTTTCAACCCACTAAGTAATTCTAGTTCATTCATTAAAAGAACATGGGTAATAATTAAGACATTCAAAATACAAGGACACCTTCGAAACAGCAGGCCATCCTAACAGACTTTAGCATGAGTATTCCAGATAAGGAATTGAGTAAAGTGGAAACCTTTTGAACTTTTCTAAACTGTATTTTATTACCTGTACTTGAACATATACTTTTATAAACTGTTCTGTTTAAGAATGAATGTAGGGTTTTTTTTTCCTCTTTAGCATAAAAGTTTGGGACCTCCCTGGAGAGAAAATGCTGAACTCCTATAGAGGTGAGTTTTGCCTCCCACTTCCATCTTTGCCATCTTGGTTCCTTTGAGTTTTTGAATTAGATTTTCATGCTAAAAGCTTTGTGTATTGATGGATAAGGCCTCATTAGCATCTACCGGGCCATTAGGAAATCACATATTCATCCTTCTGCTTTAAGGAGAAGACGTTTTCTCTGTTCTCAGTCTCTCCACCATGCTTCTGGTGCCCTTCACATCCTAAAGCTTGGATGTTCTGCCTGAAGCCTCACGAGTCTTCACCGTTCTCCACTTCCTCCAGGGGAAGCAGCTGAGGATCCTAGGTAGACCTAGAGGTGAAAGGAGCTCTGAGACCGTGTGAACTAACCTTCATTTTAGAGAGGGGAGATCTCAAGCCCAAGTTCACAGTAGGAAAGACTTGAGGTGGGGTTGGAGCCTACACCCTCTGACGTATGATGGGCAGCCTTCTGGCTTAGTTAATGTCTGTGATCCATCTTGCTCTCCATTTCCTGCAAACTCATTCCAGTTCTGCTTGTATCTTGTCCACATCTTTAAACATGGTAATTGTGAATCCCATCTTGAGGCCAGGTAGTTTTTTTCTGCTGGTGCCAGTTTGGTCCGGCCTCTCTGCTTATATCTGGTTGTGATGGTTGGGCCCACCTTTCCTTCATAGGTCACTCTGGCCAAGTCTCCTGTGTTGCTGCTTGTCCCTACAAGGAGTCTAAGTTCCTGTCATGCAGTGAGGTAAGATGATACTCTCCCTTGGCCCATATCCAAAGTGTTTAACAGACTCGGTACAGCTTGAGCCTGAAGTGGTTATCTTAGAGATTAAGAACTGGGAGAGAGCCTTATTTTACATTCGAGGAACTGAGGCCCAGAGAAGGGGAAAATGCCCCTGGGTCACGCCTGGTAGAAAGTGTCGGAGCTGAGGTATGAACTCAGGACTTGTGATTTTAAGTCCATTGTTCTTTCCATTACACCATGCTGATCATGAAGCATTTTCTTCTGTTATTACTTCCAGGACAATAGAATTTTACTTTGGGATATCCGGTGCCCCAAGCCAGCTTCACATATTGGTGAGTCCGAATGGTGGTGTTAGGAAAGGCCCAGTGACTTTGGCTGTCAAAGATCAACAGGTCTCTTACAGTGAAACAACCTTCTCTGCCCTCTAGGACAGAGGTCAGCAAACTATGGCAGCCACCTGTTTTTGTATGGACCCTGGAACTAAGAATGATTTTTTTTATATTTGTAAATACACTAAAAATGCAAAAATCATTATTAACTCAAGAGGACTACATGAAAAGTGGCTGCTGGATTTGTCCCGTAGTTTGCCGGAACCCTACTGTGGGTTTCTGGTTATCCAGTCCCTCCAAGTGGCAGAGAAGGGAGATCCCTTCTTTCCTGGACAGGTTCTGTCGCATTCACCACGATAGTAGGTGGGTGGGGGACTGGACTGAGTTCTCTTAGGGTAGAGGGGGAAGAGACTTGTTTTATCAGTTTACCTTTCTTGCTAGTGTCTTGGAGAAGTATAGGATCAGAGGAGAGTGTATCTATTATCAGGCCCAAGACTGAAATATGGATAAAGGATGTGGTTGGGGAAGAGAACAGTTGGACTTTCTAACTCTAAGGATTTTCAGTTCTCTTGCTCTCACTTTTAAAAAATCTTATATTTATTTTTGTTGTATTTTGAGTTCTGAATTGTCTCCTTCCCTCCCAACCCTGCATTAGAGAACATTTGATATAAATATATATGTGGAACCATACAATACATACTTTGATTTATCAGTTTTTTCTCTGGAGGTAGATAAAATAAGTCCTTTGTAGTTGATTTCAATGATCATATTGCTCAGAACAGCTTAGTTATTCACAGTTACTCTTTGAATAACGTTGCTGTTACCAACATCCTCTTGGTTTTGTTCATTTCTCTCTGCTGTTCTCACTTTCTCAGGCCAAAGTGCCTCCCATCACCTTCCTACCTCACTGGCCTGGCATCCTCAGAAGGAAAAAGTTTTTGCTTTTGGTAAGAAGTCTTGGTGCTTGTTTCTTAAGGATATCAAGCTCTGGGGCTAAGGTGGTTGTCCTCTTGTATTCCTTTGTTGTAGCTATCCTGCCTCTTGTACTTTTGTGCCTCTGGGCCCAGGAGGGAGGTTGGCTGGCCGTGATTTATGATCCATTCTGGACCCGTACAGGGATGCAAGTGTGAAGGGATTTAGACTGGGCTTTGGAAAGCATTGTGATTTCTCCCCGTAGCAACCTCTCCTTCATGATTGTTTGCGCCTTCTTTTATGTTAGCCACTCCTGAGCACATGGAAGCTTATGACTGACCAAGGGGCTTCTGTGGGGTGGGCAAAAGTTGGTTGAGGGGCTAGTTTGAATTTGAGATGGGCCACAGGAAACCCACAAAGAGGCACTGTAGAAAATAGGTAATTGAGTATTGATTCTAGGCTGAAAACAGCAGTGAGGCCTTTCACACAGATGCCATCTTGGTTCTTCCCTGTAGGTGATGAGAATG